AGGACCTTGGCTGTTTTCTGTGTCCCGACTGTATTCTGAATACCAAGAGAATTTTAAAAATTGCTTCCAGTAACAAAAGTAGAATGTTTTTCAGCATTGTGAAGGATATGGGGAAAGGGTCATGATTATAAGTTAATAGGGAAGTAGGGTGTGTATAGTAAATATGGTAATTAAGGGCCAGGGTGGAGCCCAGGAGAAGATGAAACTAAACAGCCATTGATCATCAGGGAGTAAACTGGAGCATGCGAATGCACTACTCTTCTGTTAGCAGGATGGGCTAGAGCAGTGGGAGTAGATTAAGAGGAAGAGAGGACAGATTAACATAGGGTATAATTTTCAAACGTGACAGGAAAGCATTTTTATTATACTCTTGTATTTTTCATTGTATTTATTTTATATTTACTCTTCTGTATCATTTTTGGAATCAGAAAAAATATATAGTGATATTAGTAATTTTCAAAAACTGCATTGCGGAGAGCTCCCTTGCCCTGTGTGGGGCCATTGGAAGTGCTGTTCTCTGCCATCTTGGTCCGGCTCTGCCTGTTGTACAGACAGGAAACTCAGCCAGTAGTAGAAGTGGGCTGGAGCCAGAGTTGACAGATTGGCTGCTGTTATAATTTTTAAAATTACTGGGTGTAGGGCACAGTGGCTCTTGCCTGCAATCCCAGCACTTCAGGAGGCCGAGGCAGTGAATCACTTCAGGCTAGGAGTTTGAGACTAGCCTGGCTAACATGGTGAAACCCCATCTCTAATGAAAATACAAAAATCAGCTGGGCATCGTGGCGCATGCCTATAGTCCCACCTACTCCAGAGGTTGAGGCACGAGAATCGCTTGACCCTGGGAGGTGGAGGCTGCAGTGAGCCAGACCACACCACTGCACTCCAGCCTGAGTGACGGAGTGAGTGAGACTCCATCTCAAAAAAAATGTTATAATAAAATGAAATGAAATTACTAGCTATAAATTATAAGTCACCTAAAATCTGTCTGAGCCTTAAAAATAATGAGCTAGAAGATTCATATTTGGGTTTGGCTCTGTGAGTGCTGGTTTGGTGATATTAGGCAAATCCCTTGACCCAACCCCTCTGAGGCATGCTTTCACTTTGCAGAATAGTTTTGGGTATCATCCAGTCTGCTGGGGTCTTATAACAAAATACCACCAACTGGGGGCTTGAAGAACAGAAGTTTATTTTCTCACAGTTTTGGAGGCTGGAGGTCCCACACCAAGAAACTGGCAGATTCTGTGTCTGGTGAGGGCCTGCTTCCCTGAGTGCAGACAGCTGCTGGGCTCTCACATGGCCTTTCCTCTGTGAGCCTGCAGGGGAGGAGTAACACCATCCCCACCACACTAGGGACCCACCCTTACAACCTCATTTAACCTTCATTACCTAGAGAGCCCATGTCCAAATTCAGTCACATTGGAGTTAGGGTCCAATATATGAATTTTGTGAGAACACAATTCAGTCCAAGTATTAAAAGATAAGTGCAGAATACAGTTGTAAATTTAAAAACATCACCCAGATGTAAGATAATGATGGTGTCCTCTCCTGCAAGGCTTGACTCTGACTCCACTTGTAACCTAGGGGTTTTGAGAGTTGCATTGGACCCACAACCCATGATTTGTGCATCTCAGGCTGGAGTGCAGTGGTGTGATCATGGCTCACTGCAGCCTTGACTTCCCAGTCTCAGGTGATTCTCGCATTTTTGACTCCTAAGCAGCTAGGACTACAGGCATATGCTACCACTCATGGCTAATTATTTTCTTTTTGAGATGGAGTCTCGCACTGTTGCCCAGGCTGGAGTGCAGTGGCGCAGTCTTGGCTCACTGCAGTCTCCGCCTCCTGGATTCAAGTGATTCTCCGGCCTTAGCCTCCTGAGTAGCTGGGACTATAGGCACCAGCCACTGCATTCAGGTAATTTTTTTTTTTTTTTGAGAAGGAGTCT